AAAAAAAAAAAAAAAAAAAAAAAAGATGAGCATGTAACTCATAGATCATGAGCTACATGCTGAACTTTTGATCAGTGGTACTAAGAGCTAAATATGATCCCCATAATTTATTTTCAAACATAAATAAAAATGGACATTTAAACAAGTTAGGGATATTATATCAAATTTAAGACTAGTGCTACTATCTTTAATAGTCGATTTAATAACAAATGTATAGCATGCCAGAATAAAAATTATTTTTCTTATTAAGGAAAATTTATCTTAATTTTTTTTTGAGACAAAGTCTCACTCTGTAGCCTAGGCTGGAGTGCAGTGGTATAATTAGGGCTCACTGCAGCCTCGACCTCTCGGGCTCAAGTGATCGATCCTCCCACCTCAGCCTCTCAAGTATTGGAGACCACATGCGCATGCCACCATGCCTGGCTAATTTTTGTGGTTTTTTTGTAGAGATGGGATTTCGCCATGTTGCCCAGGCTGGTCTCGAACTCCTGGGTTCAAGTGATCCTTCTGCTTTGGTCTCCCGAAGTGCAGGGAATGTAGGCATGAGCCACTGCACCTGGCCTAGATTTTTCTTTTGTGCTTTCAGCTATTTCTAACCATGTTTTACCTATGGGCAAATCTCAATTGTAAGAAAAGTCAGCATGTAATTGAAAAATGGCAGATAAATGCCTTATATTTTAAAAGATTATACTCTTTCTATGCATCTTTCCATAGCTATTTCTTACAGGAAAAAAACCAAGAGCATATTCAGGGGACTGGTAAAATAGTCTACAGTCAGAGCACATGGGAATTGAAACACTCCCATGTGTTTCTGTGTCTTACTCTTCTTTGCATGTTTTTCACCAGTAGGATTACTGCAAGGGCGAATATCATTTACTATTTGACAAACAATAAAAATGGAGGCAAAAGAGTATTTGAACAAAAATCTTTGTGACAACTGTGAAGCTTCCTAGAAAATTGGTGGAGGAAGGCAGCTTTATAAAGGGCTTCTCCTAAATGCCTTGGGAAAAAATGACAGCATCACAAAATTAGAGAAAGTACAGTTATGGGGTCTCTCTGGATGTGTAGAAAACAGCCACAAAAATATGTTAATGGCAATAAAAACCCCGCCACAAAAATTTGCATTTAATTGAAAAATCAACCTTATAAAGTATGAAAACCTTTGTTGAATTATAAAATTATTTATATTCCAAGTTTTTTGAAAACTTCTGATGAAACACCTACAGCATTTTGGTGTTGAAGGAATGAATCTAAGTTCTTTGGAATCTTATCTCAAGAAACAAGGGAACTGCGCCAGTGCAACATTTTAACTTTTCAATCTATATTTTTACCTTTTGGGAAACAGAGCAGCAAGAAGTTAAAAAGAGTTGACCCCAAAAATGTACAGGTGGATAAGCCTCCAAGTAGCAGCCAAAGAAATATTCAGCATTTCAAAAGCTTCTTAAATGTACAGTGGTAAGAAAATATTTTTATAGGATCCCCATAATTTATTTTGATGTCCACGAGGCAAAGAATTTGTATTGAAAACTTTACTTTGTTAGGGTAATGTTTTGAGCCTTTAGATAATGCTACTTTAACTGAAATGAAAATCTTTGATGATACAGTTTCTAAAACTGTAATCCTTATTGATTTGTACATCTCTTTTTTGTGTAGGAGACACAGCAGTTAGAGAAGTTTTTGAAGAGACTGGTATAAAATCAGAATTCAGGTCCCTCCTGAGTATTCGGCAACAGCACACAAATCCTGGAGCTTTTGGGAAGTCAGATATGTATATCATCTGCCGCCTAAAGCCATACTCATTCACCATAAATTTTTGCCAGCATGAATGCTTAAGATGTGAGTGGATGGATCTCAATGACCTGGCCAAGACTGAAAATACAACTCCTATCACCAGCAGAGTTGCTAGGCTGCTGCTATATGGGTACAGAGAAGGGTTTGACAAAATTGACCTGACTGTGGAAGAACTTCCAGCAGTTCACACCAGGCTGTTTTATAAACTCTATCACAAGGAACTGCCAGAGAATTATAAAACTATGACAGGAATTGATTAAATTCACATTTGTATGTTTAGAAACATGTAGACTAACAAATGACATAAGAAATAGTGGACGTTTGGGATTAAATATCTGACTGTAATTTTCTAATAGATATGATTTCCATGAAGAAATTTTGTTTCTAAACGTACACATTTTAAAATCCTCTTTTCAAATAAAGCAAATGCATGAAAAAGATCATTGCTCTAGGTAAGCTTCACTGGGTAACAGCAGATGCTATATAAAAGGGGGAAGTCTATACATTTTTAAACAATTTTTGTTAGTTTTCTTCACTGGGACAATGGTTACATATTTTACTACTGGATAAAAAGTTATTTGACCAGTTATCTAAACTGAGCTGTACACATTTATTTTCTTTTTCTCTCATTAACAAATTTCTAAAATATACTTCTTCTTTCATGTGAAATGAGATTAGCTGTGGCCATTAAAATCAGCTCTTAGCAGACATTGGAAGAAAAAGTATAGCTTTCTGCCCAGGTCCTGTTTTGGATCCAAGTTTATACTGCCCAGTTCGTTTCAGTGCCACATACCAACTGGTGTATTTCCTTGATCGGTAAGTATTGTAGTTATTAGATTCCAATCGTTCAAAAAAGAAACACTCGTCCGTAACACATTTCTGAAAAATAAAGGAAGAATTATTATTATTACACTTTTCATCTTAAATATTTATGATAGTACAATGGCCAGTCTGCTCAACCAGCAGCAGTGCTATTACGTTCAGCAGAGCAATCAAACTAACAAGATTCAATGGGCCAAAATATATATGACACAGAGTAGCTCTGAAGAAGGATGCAAACCAGGAATGCAGCATGCCAGCAGGACACCATCAAGTATGTCTCTTCAGTAGGAGTGCAGAGACCATTCTCCAGCTCCAAAACAGGTCAGGTGTTAAACACAAGGAAGGACATACCTAGTAAGAAGCAGCACACTACGGGAAGCCCAAAGCTATAGCTTCCAGCTGTATTTATGATCCACCCACACCCCTCCCAGTTCCAAGGCAGATTACCAGTCAGGGGTCATTTTTACTTTTATCAGCGGTACAGTGAAGCAGTAGTAGAAGGCTAACCCAGTGTAATCTTTCCATACAGAAGAAGGAGGTTTGTTAATACTTGACTCACAAACAGAATTAATCCCCCAATTTTTAACTAAAATTTTTAAGTGGCTAATGTTTTAAGGCATAATAAAGAATAGTTTATTGTACAGAAAATAGCTAGTGGTATAAAATGCCAAAAATAATATTGGAATATTATATTACATATGATTAACAATCTCCAAACACTGTTAGACAATGAGAAATAAGTAATGATCATGCTGATTTCCAGCAGGCTCCTTCTTGAGGGATAGATTTTGCCTTTTAATTTCAATTCAACTATTTATTAGAAAAAAAGAATAGCTGGCTTTCAAACAGACCTGGAAATAATACTCCAAGTAATGGAATCTAATAGCTACCATATTATTTAAGATACGTGTTCAAAAAGCAACTTCACAGGATGGCACTGATGATACCTCTAGGGGGAAAAATCAATTTATTCACTCCAAAATAAAAAAGAGAAAATCATTTTTATAATTATGGTTGTGTATGTGTCTGTATATATATATATATATATAAACAAATTTACATGTGTTTTCTATATAAGTTTATAATTCTGTATATAGAGAGAGAATTATAAACTTATCTAAACACATAAATATAAGATGTATACAGAGGTATATAAATATATGGTTTTATATTAATACCACATTCCGGGCTGGGCACAGTGGCTCACACCTGTAATCCCAGCACTTTGCGTGGCTGAGGCAGGTAGATCACGAGGTCAGACGTTCAAGAACATCCTGGCCAACATAGTGAAACCCTATGACTACTAAAAATACAAAAAATTAGCCAGGTGTGGTGGCGGGTGCCTGTAATCCCTGTCAGGAGGCTGAGGAAGGAGAATTGCTTGAACCTGGGAGGTGGAGGTTGTAGTAAGTCGATCACACCACTGCACTCCAGCCCAGGTGACAGTGCAAGACTTCGTCTAAAAAAAAATACCACTTCCAGTTTATTTCTATATGCTCATATCTAGAAGATTTCAGGTTTGGAAAAACCCACATTAAAAAGACTTGAACCCTGTCCCAGATTCCATGATTCTAAGATAAGGCAAACAATGGCACAAGTTGTGACAAAAACAAACTGACAAAACAAGGAAAAGAGCTGGCATAACAAAAATGAAAAGTAAAGCCTGGGAAAGAACTATAAGTGACAAATTTGTCTCAGCCATTTAAGGAAGGGTGTGATATTAGATCCTGTAATCTTATAAGAATTTTACTGGATATTTACTTGATTTTAATATCTTGATCACTGTTAATTGGATTTTTAAAAACTGAAATACAAACTTAACTAGTCTTCCCATTATGTAATATGTTACTAATAAACTCAATTCTTTATGATGCCAATAAATCACAACCTTACAAAGAAGCACACGTTGACAGGACCCAGCTATATGATACACATGAGTGTCTTGTGCTGTTCATAAAGATTCAAATGTGGTAAGAGCGAAACACCTAAACCTGGAATAATATAGACCAACATATTCCAAATCCAATACCTTTAATCTACCTCTAGTGAAATTTAGTGTCCCTCTCATGTGAACTGAAGTTAACCTGTATTATTTTATTCTGTCATCTTCATTGCCATTGATAAAAGAAAAAAACTTCCCTTTTCCCTATTCCAGGTTTAAGATCAGGAATAGAAGTGGAAGGGAAATAAAGAATGAAAGAAAAATTCATAATAATCATAAAGACACCATGAAAGGTCACCATGGAGCTTCACAGGCCAATTCCTCAGAGGTAAATTTAAACAACAGCATTTGGTCAGTTCATTTGTTGGTGTTCTATCAGCTTCCCGGATGCCCCACCTTGCTAGCTGGCACTCCCTACAATGCTTGGCCTACTGGAATACTAACCATGCCAATAATGTTTGCCTTTTCAACCAGTTCCTAATATTTCAGAGAAAAGAAACAGTACCAGGAACTAAGTGGATATGTGATAGAACCCACAACTTATTTATTTATTACAGAAGTTACTTCTACCTTTGGGGGAAAAAAAAAAAACGGTGAAGGGAAAGAAAACTGACATCTATGCTGAATGTTCAGCAATGTAAATTTAGTAAACAACTGTTTTGCTCTTGAAAACAAACTGCATTTTTTAAAAAATGAGTAGTAGGGCCAAAATTTAGTTCTCAAGAAAAGTAGCAATTTAACAGCGCAGTATAAATACAATTTTCAATTCTCTCCATTCCAACTTTCCAAATCATCTTCACTGACTGTGATCTCAGTGTTCCTACTAAAAACTGGTGCAATATAATTTTATTAATCTTTATAAACATATTTAAAGAACTCTTTTCCTATTCTCCATGTTTGCTCACCATTTCAAACTTCAGATAAAAAGCGGTGTTCAGAGGAATGCCACCACAAAGAAAGTGGCTTCTAAGGGCTTATAACAACTTGTACCTTGTCTCCAAGGCCTTATTTTATATAGGCCTAAGAGCTGAGAAATCCCTTAATGCATGATTATGGACGGCTTTTATGCATATAATTTTCTTTAAAAATCACAACAATATTTTAAGATGAGTATAACATTATGATACTCATTAACAAGTGAGGAATTTAAAACGCAGTGCTTTTGGTAACATTTCAGATTTTGGATACCTTCTGCCCTTGTATCTACTTGATACCTTTATATCAAATTAAGTTTTCCTTTATTTATTGCTTTTTTTAAATTGAAGAATAATTTAGAGGTATAGGCAGCACAAAGTTCAAATAATACATTTATTCATTCATTCTATATATTTTTTTCTTCTAGGCATCTAGGACACATCAATGAATAAAACTGCACAAGATCCCTGCCTTTATGCCACCCAAATTCTAGCTGGGGGAGACACACAATAAGCAATAAGCATAAGTGAATAAATTATATTCTGTGTTAGAATATAAGAAAACTGAGGAAAAAGTAAAGGTGAACAGGTTAAGAGGGACTAGGAGTGGTGGGGGTAAAGGCTGGGTGCAATCATAAATAGCAGGGTCACAGTAGGCTCCATTGAGAAAGTGACATTTGAGCAAATACTTGAAGGAGATGAAGGCAATAACTTATTCATCCAGGTATCATAGAAGAGCATTCCCATCAGAGGAAAAGCCAGTGCAAAAGACCTGCAACAGGATCATACCCAGAGTGTTTGAGGTGTAACAAGTAGGCCAATGTGGGAAGAATAGCAGGAAATGAGATCAGAGAGGTAATGGGATGGGAGAGGGGGCGAGATCTCATAGTTTTGGAGGCTATTGTAAATATTTGGCTCATATTCTAAGAAAATGGAGAGCCACTGCAGGTTTTTAAGCAGAAAAATAACATGATCTGACATCTTTCTCTATAATTATTCTGGCTGCCAACACTACAGAGGGTCAAAAGCAGACTTAGAGAGACCAGTTAAAGGGTTATTCAGTAATACGGGCAGAGAGATTGAAGGTTCAGATCATGGAGGCAGCAGTAGAAATGGTAAGGAGGTGCCTACTTTTGGACATATTTTGAAGGTAGACTTAATAGGGTTTTCTTATGGATTGGTTGCATGGTATGAGAAAAGCAGAGGAGTTAAGAATGGCACTGAAGTTTATGTTCTAGAATGATGAACTTGCCATCAACCGTGGTGGGAAGGATATGAGTAGGAACAGACTTTATAGGAAAAGAGTATTAATTCAGTTTTGTACATGTTGAGTTTGAGAGGAATATCAGACATCCAAATGGAAATAATGAGTATTTATTGAGCACCTACTCTGCAACGGACACATTACTTTTCTTCCTTCTTTTTGCTTATGCTAATAACCACAGAACTAGAAATTGAAAAGTACTAATTTATATGGAATAACAAAGTGTGTAATATACAATAATGCCAATAAACCAGCATTTTCAAGTCTAAAAGGTATGAAATCTAAAAAAGAAAGGTAGATGTATACATATGATAGTGATGGGCAACGCCTCAAGGTTCCCCTGGAGGCTGTCCACATAAACCAGCTTAGTTTAAGATTCTGTAAGAGGGGCCCAATAACCATTTATTGATAATGATGCTAATGATTTTAAAGATAGTGCTAGCAGTTTGACCCCTTGTAGAGTGTATTTGAATAGAGCAGACTCTAATGTAGCATGAAAAAGCATAATCAACACTTTTAAAAGTTTGGTTTTTGTCTGGATAGTTAATTTACTTTGGTATTTCAAAAAGAAAATAAATTTAGGTGAGATATTTCTGCATAAAGAGAAACTAATCCTAGTAGATGGTAGGAGCCATGAGTCTCACTGTTGGGGTGGCAGGTTATGCACAAGCAAGGTGGGGGGACTGCTAAAATATTCATGTGTTGATGGATTAAGGTTGGGGATATCAGTATGAATGAACTCATATTTAGTTTAATATTAATACAGTTGGACAAACATAGAGACACACACACACACACACACACACACACACACACACACACACACACTAGTATGTCAGCTGAGAGGGCTTAGAACAAAGATACCTCAACAGCAACAAGCACACCCAGCATTCCAGTTTGTGGCTTCTAATATCATTCTAGGCTGGAGTCAGGAATA